AAGAACTTCCTCAACCTGATAAAGGAGGTACAGAAAAACTATATTAACATTATACTTTTACAACTTATTACACTGAAATAACTTTTGGCTAAGAGAATACTTACAAATATAGTACACGCAGTTACCATATACCCTCTACCCACCGTCCTCTAATGTTAACGTATTATATAGCCATAGCGCAAATACACAAACTAAGAAACTAACATCAGTAAAATACTATTAGCTAAACTACCAGCTTTTTTAGAGTTCACCTTTTTTCTTTTTTCACTAATGCCCCTTTTCTATTCCAGGACCCAACCTAGGATCCCGCATTGCATTTTCAGACCTTACGTTTTTTCTACTTAATGGCATTCATAAAAAACCGAATTTGAGCCCTGCCATTTCCATCCAAGGAGTCCCTATCTTGCCTCTACTCTTGCTCTTAAGACCGTCCAATTTCAGCCTCTCCCTCTTAACGACCCTTAACTGGACTCTCAGGCAGGCATACTCTACAGCCCTAAGTCAACAGAAAGGAATTACAGAAGAACTGACCATCATCCAAACACCCCAGTCTCCTCCGAGTCCACTGATAACAATTCTAATCAAAGGAAGAGGGCATTGAATGGCATTGTTAGTAAACCATCTAACATAAAAAAAAAAAAAAAATCACTACATACAATGCCCCTTTGTATTCTAAACCACCTGTGGCTTTTTTTTAAACTTGTTTTACAGAACCTGAAAAGTACTGGACAGAAAAGCGCTCACTGCCATCCTCCATGTCTGCCAGACCACATTCCTAGAAGTCTGATAACGCCAGCCTAATAGAGAAGGAAAAAAAAACCACCACCACCACCTCCTGTCATCATTTTACAACAATAACTACTCTATTGTTTACAACCCCAATAAAAAGCCCAAGCCACTCATCCTCAGGGCTGGCATTTCTTCTTTCTTTCATTCCATACCCTTTCCTCCCTTGCAAAGTAAAACTTCTTGCTTCAAAACCTATCCTCATCTTTGAGTCAAGAATCCTTTCTCAGCCTGTGGCATAAGCCCCCTCCCTAGCATATGGACATTATGCATTTTAAGGAAGAACATTTTCAAAGTGATGTGCTCTTCTCAGAGCATCATATCATGGGTTCCATGATGTCAACATGTCCCACTTACCAGTGATGGTAACCCTGATCACTTAGAACACTGTCTCTGCAGGCTTCTCCACTGTAAAGTTATTCTTTTTACCTTTGTACATGATAAATGTCTCTTGGGGAGTGGGCGTGGAGACAGTTTGAGACTATGCAAATGTTCTTTCTTAAACTTTTGCCCAATAATTTTAGCATTCATTGGCAGATCTTGCATAAGCAATTTTTACTCTGGGGCTCTAATGGTGATTTTCTACTTCCCTCACCCCCTTCTACAATTATTAATTGGAATTTATCTGTAAGAAGACATGTCCCTTCTCAACACTATTTATTCAATCATTTTCTTCTGCAGTATGGACTCATGGATATGTATTTTATTCTTTGGGTCACGATCCAATACTGTATTTATCTTCTTGCTGAAATTGTTCCAGCTTTTGCCACAGGGAGCTATTCAGGGTTGGCTTCTTTCTATCTTTCTTTCCTTCTTTCTTTTTTTAAAGCTCCTCCTTACTTTCTGGCATCACAACATACTCCAGGCTCACCTTTTATTTCCCCCATACCATTTCTGAAATCAACCGCTTCTCCAAGGAGCCCTGGTTTTCCTTTCATTGGAAAATAATATTTAGAAACCGAGATCTGGCTGCTAGATATGCTCATTAACATCATATTTAATGGCAAAAGATGTTTTTCTCCCTAAGATGAGGAATGAAGTCAGGATGTCTGCTCTTACCACTTCTATTCAACATTGTAATGAAGGCCCTAGCCAATACAGCAAAGCAAAAGAAGAAAGAAATAAAATGCATACAGATTAGAAATGAAGTAAAAACTTTTTATTTACAGAATATATGATTGTCTATGCAGAGAACTGTAAGTCATCTACAAAAAAGGCTACTACAACTAATTCTTGCAAGCTTACAGAAGGTAAATATTAAAAAAATCAATTGCATTTTTATAGACTAGTAGCAAAAAAAAGATGAAATTTTAAAATAGCATTTACATCAAAAGACATGCAGTACTTAAGTATAAATAAAATATGTGTAAGACCTAAATATTGAAAATTATGAAACATTACTAAGAGAAATTAAAGACCACCTATATAAACAGAGAAATACACTGTGTTCATGGATCTGAAGACTTATTGTTAAGATGCCAATTCTTCCCAAATTTACCTACAGATTCAACACAATCTCACACAAAATCGTAGCAGACTGAGAAACTGAGTATAAAGTCTATATAGAAATCTATACAGAAATTTATCTAGATAAATTCATACTATAAAATACCGTGCCAGAGACTCTTAAAGGCTGAAGGTACTTAAAGGATCATAATGTCATGCATGAGTAAATGAGCTGTCCATTTCCACAAAGGGAGCGAGAATGAAACCCAGGCCCAGGCCCAGCTCTTCCGCACAGCAGCACTGTGCTCTTTAGAGCGGCGCATCACGCCCCTAGCAATTAGGGCTAGCTCACTTCTCACTTGCCTAGGGAGAGACTTAGATCTCCCCTAAAGATAGATACCAGCATCTCTAGATGTGCCTGCATCTCTGGATTTGCCATACTATGTAGAAAAACGGCCAATAAGTATGTGATGATAAATTAACAAAAATAATAAATCTCCCAAAACTTATTAATGAAAATACAATTAAAAATACCTCATCTGACAGATGAACTTACCTCTTATGAATAAATATAAGGGCTCCATAAAAAATGTTTGCTTTTATAAGTTATTTAACAATTTATACTATTCAAAGCACTAGAATTTTAACTGAATTCATTAAAATATCCACTGGTATCCAGCTGGTTCCCATAATTGCTTATCTGTGATATGATACAAACCCAAATAGACCCAACACATTTTCAGAGCCTTTTAGAAAGAGACTCAGATTTAAAAGTGCTGCTGGAATGACACTGCTCCTTCAAGTATGCATGGGTGGCCGGGAACACCAGAGCTTCACCAGACAGCAAGAGTGAGCCTGGAGAGGCGTTAGTCCACTACCATTTATGGTTTACAGAAACGCTGTCCTTTTTGTGGTGCAAGGTGCTTAATACCTTTGCTCAAATTAAGTGGCATCCATTTTTTAAATTTATTATAACAATTTAAACTAATTTCTCTACATACACCATCTAGAGTTGTTCTGGAAGCTTTTTCTCCTTGCTCGACTTGCTGGCTCCTCTAACTCCATTCCCACAAAGCAGCCACCTGGGAGCCTTAGTATAGCCTTTGCTCTGGGCGAGTCTAGCCCGGTGGAGCAGAAATAGGATAAGCACTGCCCCTTCACTGGGATGCTGGCTGGGCTCTCAGAGCTTTCTCCAGGTGACATCGATCTACCATTTAACATGAATAGCTGCACACTGAGATAAGAAAACCTCTGTAGCATATGTTAGTCTCTTCACAGGACTAAACGAAGTTCATGTTTTGGCCCTTCTTGAAGTTAACAGGGCCACACTGGTGCCCCAATCATTGTCTCTTAAAGAAATGTTTTCTTTCTTTCTTTCTTTTTTTTTTGAAGGAGTCCTTCCTGGCTGGAGTATAGTGAGAGGATATTTAATTGTAGCTTATAGTTTTGTGTGTCAAAGAAAACCTCTGACTATGTATATTTCTGGGAGACACAGCAAGACCTTGATCTTTTTTAGGTTCTGTTGCAGTACACTGGCATGACAAAAACAGTACGTAGCTCATCAGGGGCCTTCCTATACATGCGTGCAACTTGTAAGGATCATCAGCAATAATATAAAGTGGATGTAAAATTGTCTATAGGAAGTTAGTAAACATTTAGGACATTTAAGAATGGTCACATGGTTGTGAGGATCCAATATTTAACACAGTGCTTTATACATGGTAGAAACTCAAGATATGTGAGTTTAATTGAACTGAAGCGTGAGTAAAGGAGTTTAATATGATGCATCTATTTAAACTCCTAATTAGAATAAATGGACAGAAAGTCACCATTTTCCCTATTACCGATAACTTAATACAGAAATGAAGTATTTTGTTATTTCCTTGTAACTCATATAATTCTCTTTACCTTAGGGGTTAACAGAGAAGAATATTTGGCACAAAATAAGATCCTACATAAATGTTAATTGATAAATGTTTCAGAGAAAAATATTAAAATCTGGTATAAACTGAAATGGAGGGACTAACCAAAATAATTAGACAAAAATTCTAAGTAAATTACTTAACTACATAAAAATTTCAAAGTAAAAATTTTATACAAGCATTTGAAAACCAAAACATCAAACTCAACATCTGTACTAACAATATACAAAGGAGAAGAAAAGATGGAATAGACACAATAATTTCCTGTCCCTGAATTTATATAAAAATTGCAATATTAAAAATAAGCATATTACAATAAACATAATTAGTGGTATCCATTTTATAGGCAATAAAGTTCTCTTTCAAATAACAGAGAAGTCTGAAATAAGACAATACTTACTTTATTAAATATTACAACTAAATTTCTTTAAGTTCCTTTTAAAATAAGGATCTGTATAAATGAATCTGAAGCGTTCACTTTAAAATTAAAGACATAAGGGCAAATTTAAAAATTATAATTTTTTTTTGCTAGATTTCCTAAAGAAAAACATAATGTTGGATGTCTTTTTTTTTTAATTAAAGATGACAGACTGAAAAATTATTATAGAAAAAAAGAGAAAAATAAATTTTTTGACCACTTTGAATAAAATTTCAAGAGGAATTTGGGGAGTCAAGATTATACACAAAATTTTGTGTTCAGAAGTTCAATAATCATTTAAATATCAGAGTAAAATGGAAAATATCATTACATCATTAAATTTTGTTCACTTTAAAATTGTTTTGCCATAAATTCATTTTAGCAGAGTAGCCAAAATGTATACATATTATCCCATAAAGATATCCTACCTTTTTATCATATACATCTTGCCAGTTTACTCCAGAAAAGAAACTGTGTCTCATAATTTCTTTTGCATCATCTGGTCCTCCACCAAGGCTATGAGGACAGAAATAAAATGAAATGAGTATAAAACATTTACCCAAAGCATAACAAAAAACAAAGTTTTTGTCAAAGTGTAATTTTCTAAGTAATAAATAGTTCTTGGGATAAATAGCCATAAATGCAAAAAGCTTTTGCGCTAAGATCTAATTTTCCCAGTATGCTATTAATAAGAACTAGCTTTAGAACACTAGTATTTGGAAAAGAGCAGAGACTTTGGAGACAGACCTGAAAGAGACACTTAGAAGATGTGTGACAAAAAAAATGGCTTAACCTCAGTTTTCTAATCTGTAGAGTGGGAATGATACTCAACTGGTGAGTTATTGCAAGGGTCAGAGATAACATAGGTAAGTGCCTAGCACAATAAATGGTAGATATTATCATTGTCAATTCTTTCTCTGTTTTTTTTATTTTTAGAGGCAGGGGCTTGCTCAGTCGCCCAGGCTAGAGTGCAGTGGCGTGATCATAGCTCACTGTAATCTTGAATTCCTGGGCTCAAGTGACCTCCCACCTCAGCCTCCCAGTAGCTTAGGACTACAGGTGCACACTGCCATGGCTGGTGCCCATCTGGGAGTCCCACATGTCCTCTTCCATTTTCCCTAAGTCCTGCACCAAATGAGTCAGGAAGCAGGGCACACAGCATTGGTTTAAATGTGATTATGCATCATAAACTTAACATCAGAATGAAAATGAAACTGTTTTGATTTTGATGTTTCTTTAAAACCCTTCCTCTGTCCAACCCACCTGCCCCTCATTAGCTAAAGTCTCTTCCAAAACAGAGAAGAGCTGTTGACGTCTAACTTCTTCCATTAAATTAATAATACTGACCTCCTGATATTTAAGTGGTTACTATCTACTGTTGTAAGGTTTTGTATATTTTGTAAACCTTTTTCCCCAAATAGTATATGTCTAAAATCGTTGTACATCTGATTCTTTTATATTCCATTGTTCAGCACACAGTATGGTTTTTATTTAGAATAAAAAAAAATTTGAAATGGTAGAAAAAGAGGAAAGAAAGATGAAAACAAAGTAAAGTAAACCTATTTAAATCTGAATTTAATATAGCAACCTTTATTTGAACTTGTTCATGGTTAGAAACGATGTGCGCCAGTAAAAGCTCAACGAACGGCTCTCTGGGGGAGATTATGCATAAACGTGTCTGTGTATGTACACACACACACGTGCACGCACACACGTTTGTTGTAAGTTTTACTGATCTAAAGGATGTAAAGCATAACATTTACAAAAAATAATAAAATATACAATGTTCTGTGTTGTAAATTAGCCAATTGATTCCCAGAGAAAACTTGTTAAGTTCTGCTGAACTTCAAAGCCGCCTATGTATGCAACTGACTTACAATTTGTTCTGACACGAATATTGGTTGACATTTTTGTTCATGTTAAAGTCAAAGATGAAAGTGATACAACAGAGACATACATCTGAACTTCATTTGACAGTTATGTGACTTCTTTGTTGAACGGTTAATGGTTTTGGAACAATGAAATAATATTTACTACATATTTTGTGCTATTTACAATGTAATGGAGACAACAAACTTTTAATCTGCATTATTAACATTTTCTCCATCACTTTCTTAAGTTTAAACAATTAACAAAACGTTAAGTCAAGCCCTGACTTATAATATTTGCCAATTTTGGTGATATACTCCCACCATGGCCAATTTCAAGCTACCCGATGATATCACTTAACATAGAAGTGGAAAGACGTGTACATTAGCAAACCATTATATGTTATTTCCATACAGATACGATAGACATAAATAACCTCAAAAACACACATAATAGTAAAACATAACAAAGTTATTAAGGAGTAATAAGTTTTGAGTATTTATTACCTTTGCTTTCCCTATTCTTGATTTAATTTGTAAATTTATATTTAATTTTTAATAATGACTATATTAAACAACCATCTGACAAAATTGCTGAAACTTTAATGACTGGTTCTCGTGAGCTGGTTATGTGCCAACTCCAACACATCGCTGGGTGGGAAGAAAACCAAGTAGGCACAGAAAACAAATACAGATGCTCATAGACTTAACAATGGGGTTACCTCCAGATAAACCCATATTTCATATTTCAACTTAATATGGGTTTATTCAGATAGAACCTATGGTAAGTCAAGGAGCATAGTGAATACTACCATTTTCACACCATCATAAATTCAAACCAACATATGTCTGGGATCATCTATAATGTCTATCAGTCTATAATTATATAATTATTTTCTTTTTTTTAGAGATGGGGTTTTGCTCTGTCGCCCAGGCAGGAGTGCAGTGATGCACTGATAACTCACTGCAGCTTCAGACTACATATGGGCTCAAGTGATCCTCCTGCCTCAGCCTCCTGAGTAGCTGGGACTACAGGCACATGCCACCATGCCTGGCTTGTAATTATACCATTCTAATAATTCTGGTTATAAGGTATAAGAAACACATGATTTGAGAAGGACATAGGATCCTCTGACACATTGTCAGAAAGGAAAATAAAACAATTAGCCAATACCCGAACATCTTTAGTGATGATAAACGATTCCTACCACTGGGTCTCCTATTCCCAGATCCACAGAGAATTCTCTAAATGAACCACATACCAGAGAAGGGACTTTTAGATTGGATCAGATCATAACAGCGATGCTGGATGTTTGCATTTGGGACCCCGAGATCGGAAGTTCTGTATTTAGTGAAGCCTCAGGACTCCAGTCCCTGCCCTAACTCTTTTTCACTCTATTTCAAGTTGCGTATGTCTCTCTCCCAGGAGACTACAGACTCCTTTGAGGGCAGAGATCAGTACTGGAAACCAGAATCTCAAAAGCATCAAAACACATGTTTCTGAAAAGAATTTAATATTTCAAAGTATGCATCAAAGTAGTCTGCATGAGAAAAATCAGAACTCCATGGTATTTTCTTACACTTATGGTATAGTTTATTTCAATACTGTTTTCATTTGAATTGTACTTGGGATTATACATGAGGCAGGAGTTGGAATGGAGAATCGTCATCATTTTGTAAATAAAAGGTTTCAATCCAGCTTTGGTTACTCATTTTCATGTAACCCCTCAAGTTCTCTAGCGATAGCTTGGCTTTGGACATAGCCAGCATTTATTCTATATTTATCAAATATATATAAAACTAAAATATCAGCCATGAATACTATGCAAAGTCTAAGAATACAATCTTAGACTGCCATTTTAGAAGCTGGGAGAAATTCTTTAACACAAGCTTCCCCAAAGTGTGAAACTGTCAAAAATTTCAATGTCAATGACTGTCTAATGTACAATTTAAGACTTCAAAATAATAACAAAATATGCTTTGAACTAAGATATTTATGTCTAGAGTACTAAACTCCAATATCGGAATGCCAAAGTAAATCCTCAGTTACTATGAATTCTTTACTATTAGGAACACCACAGAATTCATATTTTCCTAGTGTTATTGAATGTAACACAGGTCATGCTTTTCCTATAAACTCTCCACAGGAACATAAAGGAAGGACTAACGAATGATTATAAAGGAATGGAGAATAAGAAGTGAAAACAAAATGATAGTTGTTCCTCTGACAGAACTGACAGCAATTCAATAAAGGATACCAGAAAAATTCAGGCAGTATTTAAAATGGCTGAAGAGAAAAAACAAGAGATATATCATAATGCTATGTTTGATTATGTTTCCAAAGACTTTTCAGGGCCCTTTGTTGGCTTTTCTTCTTTCTACCTCTTAAATTATTAAATATAATGTTTCCCAGGCTTCTGTCCTAGGCCTTCTTCTCTTTATACTCTACCCTTGCCACCACTGTCCTGGCTCTGGCGATGTCCCAGATGTCTATGGCTCCCAATCCATATATTCAGATACTGTGTTTCTAATAATACTAGTATTATTTCCAGTTGCTTACTTGACATTTCCATTTTGGTTATCTACCGAAACCTCAGACTCAATATACCCAACGTTAATATCCACATCCACCTCATCTGGCCCCCTCCTTTGCTTATATTCCCTGTCTGTTAGTAATGTCCCATTCTTTAATCCAGTCACCTTAGCTGGAAACCTCAGAGGCATCCCTGACTCCTCCTACTTCCTCACCATTTCTATTTAATCATTCGCAAAACTCTACTTACAGCTTGTTCACCAATGCTTTGGGAAGGAACCCTTCTCTTATCTGGACAATTCCATAAACATTCTTAATTGCTCTGCCTGCCTGCTCCTGGCTCTTTTGCTCTTCTAATCTGTCCACGACAAAGCTGCCAGAGTTACCTTTTCATAACACAATCTGATTATACCATCTCTTGCTTGAAATTTTCATCCCCTTCTGACCAACAATTAAATATTTTCTAAGAAACGAAAGACCCTTACAATCCAACGTAGCATATTCATTCCCCAATGTTACCCAACTCATATTCTACATTCTACTCATTGAACTTCTCAAATACCATGTTCATCTGCAATTTTAGCTGTACTTTACATGTAAATTTCTCTGAGTGCCACAGCAAACTCCAACTCCTTTATAAGCCAACCTGAGTCCTCCAATCCCCAGATAGGGCTAACAATTTCAACAGCACTGTGTATGCAGTGTGGCCTGAGCATCTGTGAGTAAATATATTGTGCCCCACATTATTCTGTTAACATCTACAGCACAGACTTGTTCATCTTGTTCATCCTTGCATTCCCAATATTTTAATGCAACAGTGGAGGTGCTCGGTATATAATAAAGTATAAAATAAGTATCAGATAATTGAAAACATGCACCTTCTCTTTAGATCAATACCAACCTCTGGGTGAACAAACCATAAACAGTTGTCCTGTATACCAGGCCACTGACATTCTAAAAATTTATCTCACATTCACTCAACAGTTCCCGAGTACCTACTATATGCTATCCATGGGGTAGAGTGGGCTGAAAAAAATGAATGAGACATAAACATGAAAACCCCACATACAATTTTGTTCTACCAGCCATTTATAGAGAGAGCTGCACACAAAAAATGGGTGGTCAGAGTTAACCTGCAGCACTCAGGAAAGGATGGGATGAAAATTCATTGCCCTTGAAACCAAGCCAAATAGTAGATCCCAAACTCAAATAGATGAAGTGGAAGCCATAGCTCTATTTAAAGATTACCTATCACCAAGTGCTACTCATGAGATGATTATAAAATAATCATATTAAATGGAACACATTTCAAAACCTGAACTGAGAAATCGTTGCACTGTAAATAAGATAGATAGGAAATACGAAATAGGTATTGAGAAACTTGATTTCTACTCTTGTTCTGCATGAATTTTCCGTGGGACCTAGAATAAACTACCTAACCCTCCTGAGCCTTTGTTTTCATCTAAAATGGAAATGAGAATAAAATCTACCTACGTACACTACAAGGCTACTGAAAAAGCAAGGGAGAAAACAGATGTGAAAATGTTCTGAAAAAATAAAGCAAAATCACTTTACAAATACAAATTAATATCTGTTACTAAGATTACAAAATATATTTTTGAATGGTTCTTCACAAAGCAAAAAGATAGTATCTTTTTTGTTGTTTGCTTATTTCTGCTGAAGGTAAAAATCATGTTCCTTATCAATTTAAAAGCCATAAACATGCAGTGGGAACCATTTCTAAGGTAGACGAAGCTCAAATTTTAGGATTCATTTATTCCTTCACTTATTAAACCAGTCTGTCAATAAATACACATTGAGCATCAACAAACCATTGTAACAAAACATTATGTGAGATGTTGCAAAAGACTCAACAGTATCTGAAATCATCTAACCTCCAGGTACTTAAAATCTGACAGACTTTCAGAGAAACACTGATTTGCATAGGCACCTAGATGGAAGGATGGATATATACGCGCATAAGCACACATATTAAGGAACATTTAAAAATTAAAGCCATTTCATGTATGATTTATAAAATGTATGTGTGAATGAATATATAAACATGAACAAAAAATACTGTGGCTCATTCAGCAAAGCAGCAAGGGCTATAGGATTCTTCAGGTCATAGCTGTAGCTACAAAAACAGAAATACAAAATGTATAAAGATTCTTTTGCCATCAATCCTTTCAGCTATGCATAGAAAAGAAAATTTTCAAATTACAAACAAAAAAAGCAGTTAGATATGTTGACATAGGTTCAGGGTGGGAGGAGAACATAGAAAAACAGCTCTGTTCTTTTTATAATATAAAGGCCCACAGACGAAAGGAAAAGGGATCCTCCCATCCCCACAATATCAAGTAACAGGGCAATTAAGAAATTGTTCACTTATAATATAGATAATGGAACTCTCGAAATCCTTATTTGGTAAAACTACATGAAGTGTCCAAGTTAGAAAAGAGTTGAGGAAATTTTTAAAATGTTCTATATTATGCAGTTAAAAATAAGTCAGTATCTCAGTGAAAAGATGTCTATACCAAATACGTTGCTTCTTGGAGTTAGTTATATTTGAATTAATTTCCATATCACAATTTTTAACCACATTCATCAGCAAGTCACTGAGCGTTGAGGCTTACCGTTTATTTGGATCCTTGATCAAGAGCCCTGAAAGCAATGATTTTGCATCTGAAGAGAGTGTTCGAGGAAATTTAATGTCTTCCATTAGTATTAGTTCAAAAAGTTTCTCGTGATCCTGGTTGTAGAAAGGTAACCTCCCACACATCATTTCATACATGACAACCCCTAGGCCCCACCAGTCCACCGCTCGGCCATAGTCGTTATCTTCTAACACCTAAAAGTGAAACCAGTAAGAAGAGTAATTATTACACATTAACTTTAGAAGCATTATTCATAAAACATAAGATTTTTACATAAAAACGAATCTTAACTTTCAAAGTCTAGGTAGTCTATTCTGAGATCTTGATATTTAAACCATAAAACATCCTAACAAAAGATACAAATCACATCAAGTATGTGGAATACTCAATATAGTATATATCCAGAAATAGTCAGTGTACAAAAAAGGGGATAGACAGGTCATGCAAAATAATCCCTAGTAAATGAATGTATATAAGGATCAAGTGAAAAATATTAGTTAGCATATTTGCATATTTTCCCTTAGGCCTACTTTTTCATTCTGGTTCCACCAATGTGGACTTCAAGTAACAAAACTTAGAGCCAGGCCATGCTGATTATGGAGTCTATAATGTGCTTCACACATTCTTGCTTTAAGAAGAACTAAGTAATCGAACAGTGAAAGAGAAGAGTAAACAAACTCAATGTAATGGTTGTTAGGGAATGACAACCATCAAAATAAATTTGAAAGCTTTTGGGAGCCCCTATATATGTTCAAACTCTTCTGGAAACATTTAATTAACGAAGTGAATATAAAGGTTTATTGTTTGAGTTGTAATAAATTTTAATATCCAAAGCTTTAGTACCTCAAAACAAAAATTTCTGTTAAACACAGCAAAAATCATGGCCTTTATATCTGGACGGTATGTGTCCTTTAATTTGTTTCCCAAAATACATTACATGCAAAATAAATTTAGTAAGAAATGATATGAAAGTATCAGTTTGGCTATGTTAGAACAACCTGTTCAAACTGGAATGTGGTAATTTACCATGTGTCCCAGGAAAAATTTTGTCTTATCTTTTTATCAGATTTTTTTCCTCATCCAATAAAATATTCATCTATATGCAACTTTCAATATTTTATTTTAAATAACTATATCTGAATAATCATAAGGCTTACTTCATTTGATCCTCTCAGGTTTGGGAAAACCAGACCAAGAAAACCATATTATATGAATTTTATCAATTAAACACAAAACTTATAGTTGATTACATAAAAGAAAATTTGGTAAGAACAAAGTAGTACTCATGTTCCAAACTTTCTTGGTTTGAATTAATCTTTTGTTGAAGATTACTCCTATATGACTTTTATTTAAAATTTCCCAATAATTTCATAGAATTGCAGATGATAGTTTTGACAGTTACTTTATGATTATCTATAAATACTACGAAAGGGACTTTGGTAGACAGGGTATTTAAAGATGAATGCTATAATTTCAAGAAAAAATTATGATTCTTAAAGATCTATTCAGGGTTTTTGGGATACCATGAAAAGATTTTTCATTCAATTATACCAATGTTTGTTTCATAGCTAAAGAACACTAAAAACTTCATTGGTAAGATACGAACACAAATCTAGTTTGTATGATTTTTTCAGAAATCTTTTGTAAATCATAAACTAAGAAAAATATTTTCCGGAAGAATAAATTCTAGTTTTCATCATTAGTCAAAAAGAAAAATTTGAAATTTCTACTTGCTTGAAATGAGTAATATGAGAAAAAACAGAAAATAAGAAATAACCTAAAGAAGCAGAAGGAATTCTACTTACATACATATTTAAGTTTAAAGAAATGCTGTATACATAATTTTAAAATACCAGTGACTTTTGATGATTCAAGGATCTATCTCATGGCCAATTAGTAGAATGCACTGTTAGTGGGGCCTTTATCTAACTGACACGGGATTTTACCTAATAACAAAAAATTTTTAAATCTGAGAACCTTTAACTGCATTCCTACAACACCAACAAAACAGTGGGATACACGAAAAGGAGCCAAACGTGGTTTTTAACCTCTTTTTTCATAAAACCATAAAAAGCATAAAAGCTGGATTAACTGCCTCCCGAACCCACATCTCACCAGCCGGGTTCTCATCCCCAGCTGGCAAAACTGGCAATCCTTTATTTTTGTTTAAATACCTGGTTTGCAGCCAGAAGGGAAAGTGAGTACATAAAAAGAGGATTTTTATTTTTGAAGAGAAATAAGCAACTGAAAAATAAAACTGCATTGTAAAAAAATCTGTTTGATAAAATAAAATATATTTTATTCAGCTTTGTAAAATGAATACTGATTCTCAAAATAAGTGCTTTTGCTTCTGAACATACGTGTTTTAATTGATATACAGATATATAATGCTGTAATTAGAACTGTTTGCTGTATCACTTTGTACTGAACAAAATTGATGTAATGCATTGTCTTATCGACATGTAAACTTAAGCGACGCTGAGAAAACACTCCAGCAACTAAGCTATCCCTCTTTACCTAAGAGACTTCACTATCATTTAAAAAGAAAGATTTCTGTTCAGCTCCTACCTCCAAATAGCTATAAGATGAAACACACAAGAAATAAAAATAAAAATAGTTGCAATATTCTGCATATGGATGTATAATGTAAACGTGTTCCTACTATTCAAACAACATCTTTTCTCTCTCTTTAAATCTAAATTATTTCAAAATACAATACTTTGAAATACTCTGGAAATCCCAAAGTCAAATTAAATAATTCAAATCCAATAGCCTCTTTGAGATTATTTTTGGAAGATAATTTTTCTGCCTTAAAGTACTTATTATTCTAAAATTACAGTAACATATAAAATTTACATTCTTTAATCTAAGGGCTGCAAAATTCTTTCTGGCTACTTCTGCTAATTATTTTTCTAGCAAAAAGGCTAATATTTATTTCATGGTTACTGTGAGGGCTGATCCAATGGTATGATAAATGGTGATGTAAAGTATAACAATGGTAAAAGTACATTTTGACTCCATTAAAATGTCATTTCTTATGTTATTTGGATATAAATGTAGATCAAAACATGCTCCTGAAATAATCCAGTAAAACAATTATCTTGAATTATTCTAAAATGTATTTTTTCCATAAAGTCAACATTACTGACTTTTAAATGAAACTCAAAGTTTAAATATGAATGCAGACATTTGTTACTTCCTTCTATCCTTATAGTCCCCTTTATAATCATAGATGTAGTTGTACTTTATACCTACATTTAACACAAATGCCCAAACAGATACAAAGGACAAAAAGAGATCTGGAATATTACAAGAACGTAAATGTTAAAAAACAATGAAAGGTCACATCAAATCAAAACTCAAACAGAGCACAAACTCCAGGAGGCAAGGCTTAGTTTCAATTTTTTTACCCAGAGCCAGAGATTACTTTACTTTCTGATACAATAAAACCTAAGATTCGAGGAAGTCACAGCAGGTACAAATTAATGTTAAATATTCTGGTAACATTTGATTAATATTTGGGTAATATTTGATGAGGACACTTGCATTTATAAAACAACTAGATCAGTTTAAAAAACACCATGAATAGCTCTTGGGTTATTAATTTCAAAGAATGATATTCAATAAGAAACTATTTTAAAATAATACCATCAATTAAAATTCCGAATGTAAATATTTATTTGGCTAGTGGGTACTATCAGAACACCTATTCATTCCAATATTCTTTTACCAATTACGATGTACTGTGAGGTTAAAGGGACATCTCTCCTCTTGTTAGCCAGGCCACACAATGCACCCAGGACAAGCAATTACAAGGAGGCTATGTATGCCCTGGAGTGGCTTACTGCTCAATCAATAATCCTGACAGAACAGATGGGGGGAAAAATTAAACATCTAAACAAACTGTCTGCACACCTATGTTGTGAAAGTAAACTGCGAACTTGGATGAACCAATTTACCGCTAATTCAAAAAAAATTTTTTTTTCTCGTAGCCTTACACTTCAAGTAACAGATATACGTGTGTTTTATATCCAAAAGTGAGCCCTTTATATATTCTTAACATCACAGGTATTTGCTAGGAAAAAAAAAAAAGACCTATAAATCTTCACATTTTAAAATGAATTGCAGCTTCAGAAATATACATTTCAATTCACAATAATTATGAATTCCACGGTTTCTTGGTATTTTCCTCATAAATGTATATTTTAAAACTAGTTCTTATATGCTCTAATAATTCTCATACAACAGCAACTGTAAATGCCATTTGCTATGAACTATAATGTTGTAAACTTCATGGCCACCTCCTAGCATGCACACACAAATACTTGCATATACCTAACACTGTACGTTCAAAAGCAAACTCTGGCTAGCACAGGAAAAACCCTTCAACAAGAGCAGAGCTAACTGGATTCAGTAATGGTGATTAATTCATACTTACACATATCTTTCAAGAGACTTCTATACTTCCTTTTTATTCTGAAGCAATAGACACTATGGGATTCCAAGAAACTGGGTCTTTGTCACCCAAGTAACAATAGCCATAGTAAAATACTATAGGTAATCATTAGTGTCTTAGAGTTAATTTTATATATATTCTCATGCTTTAGAGACTTTAAAATTAAACTGCTTGAACTAGAATCATACCAAAGTATTGAATGCAAATATTCTGTTAAAGCCACAAAAACCATGTAACATCAAAAAGAAGTTCAGGTGAAAAACAGCTAGTATAAGGACTGACAGACCTCAAAGTAGGTAAAAGACACCACTTGTAAACATTGAGAAGCATTAATTCCATTTTAGTTCATGTTTAAACAATACCCAATTATGGGACAAAAATGGGATGGCTTTTTGTATCACCCAGTAACAATATAAAACAGCACCATAGTACAGAAAGAAATTAAATATATTCAATTAAATAGTAAACCAATGCATATGACGGAAGTTCTTAAATATGAATTCTACCTGTAGAGCTGATAACTTCTATCTGAATGAGGCGCTGTGCTCCTTTACTTAATTTTCCCCTTAATATTGTGATGAGACCCTTTCAGGACTACCAGGAAGATAAAGGTTTTCAAAAATACCTAAGGAGGATAGGTGTTACATGAATTATTAATAATTAAATAAAATTAAATGTTTTAGAAAGCCTAGTAAAACAACTCTCTCTTTTCATAAAATGCTTAAAAGTTCTAAGACT